CTGGTGATGAATTCTTTGAGATTTTGAATGTATTTTTAAGGTAAAATTCAAATAACAATACAGCATTTTAAACATTTTAAGGATGGGATCCCTAGGTGGCTCAGTGGTTGAGTGTCTGCCTTCAGCCCAGGGCGTGATCCTAGAGTCCCAGGATCGAGTCCCACATCAGGCTCCCTGCATGGAGCCTGCTTCTCCCTCTGCCTGTGTCTCTACCTCTCTCTTTCTGTGTGTCTCTCATGAATAAATAAAATCTTTTAAAAAATAAAAAACATTTTAAGGTGTACAATTCATTGGCTTTTGTTATATACAAGGTGTTTTGTATTCATCATCACTGTCTAATTTTAGAACATTTTCATCATCCAAAATAGAGACCACATGCTCATTATGTTAAATAAATAATCACAAGGTAATCACAAGGTACCTGGGTGGTTCAGTAGGTTCAGCATCTGCCTTCGGCTCAGGTCATGATACCTGGATTCTAGGATTGAGCCCTGTGTGGAGCTCCCTTCTCAGTGGGGAGTCTACTCCCTCCGTCCCTTGCTCTTGCTCTCTCCCTCACATAAAATCTTTTTTATTTTTTTAAGAAGTTATAGCTAATCAAAGTTTTGTATTTTTTTTAAGAATTCATTTATTCATGAGAGACACACACAGAGAGAGAGAGGCAGAGACATAGGCAGAGGGAGAAGCAGGCTCCCTGTGGGGAGCCCGACGTGGGACTCGATCCCAGGTCTCCAGGATCAGGCCCTGGGCTGAAGGCGGCACTAGACCGCTGAGCCCCCCGGGCTGCCCATAAAATCTTAAAAAAAAAAAAAAAAAAAAAACTTTCACTTCTTGGGTTTTTATTTTTGGTCTGTTCCATCCGCCCACCCACCCCATCCAGCTACTGATGGCTAAGAGGGCTCTTGAGACTGTGATTGGGGCTCTAGGAAACAGATTCTCTCTCCCTTAAATTCTCCCACCCAGGTTCATAGGGCAGATAAAGGTTGAACTGCAGCTGTGGCCAAAGGAGCTTAAGAGAATGAGTCACATATTACATTGGTTTGACCCCCAGAGTACACACTTCCTCATTTCTGACCTTGACTCCTACAGTATGACCCTCGTCCCAGTTTCCTCTTCCCTTTCATTCTTGTTCCATTCTACCCGCAGAATTCCTTTTAAAATGTGGTTCTGAATGGGAGAAATGGTCTCCCATTTCTTTCGGGACAGAGTCTGGATTTGGAATAGCATGATTTGATCTCGGCAAGTCTTTATAGCCTCAACCACCTTATTTTATGTCATGCCCATATTTTACACTGTCCTCCCCCCCCCCCGCCCCCGCCTTTATTTTATTTTTTTAAAGTAATCTCTGTGGGCAGTCCCGGTGGCTCAGCGGTTTAGCGTCGCCTTTAGCCCGGGGTGTGATCCTGGGGACCCAGCATCGAGTCCCACGTCGGGCTCCCTGCATGGAGCCTGCTTCTCCCTCTGCCTGTGTCTCTGCCTGTGTGTGTGTGTGTGTGTGTGTGTGTGTGTGTGTGTGTGTGTCTGTCGTTAATAAATAAAATATTTAAAAAAAATAATCTCTGCATCCAACATGGGGCTCGAACTTACAACCCTCAAATTAAGAGTTGCATGCTCCACTGACTGAGCCAAGTGCCCCAGCCCCTCACGCTATTCTGAATCGCCCTCACAGAGCAGGCCTTTTCCTGCCACCCAACTGTTGATTATGACAATCCCTCTGCTGGTTTGCTCTATCCAACTCCCATCTCATCCTTCTAGAATCAGCCCAAATGTGCTTTCTTTTGTGGCACAGTCTTTGTCACTCTTTGAATCTCAAATCACAGGCAATCACTTTTCTAGCTGGGATTTATTCATTCCCCTGACAAAGTGCCAATCTTTTTAAAATTTAAATTCAATTAATTAACATACAGTGTATTACTGGTTTCAGAGGTAGAGGTCAGTGATTCAATACCAGTGCTCATTACATCATGTGCCCTCCTTAATGTCCATCACCCAGTTACCTCATCCCCCCACCTCCCTCCCCTCCAGCGATCCTCAGTTTTGTTTCTTATGATTAAGAGTTGTTTTTTTTTATTATTTTTTTAAGAGTTGTTTTTTTTTTAAAGATTTTATTTATTTATTCATGAGAGAGGCAGAGACAGAGAGGGAGAAGCAGACTCCCTGCAAGGAACCTGATGTGGGACTTGATCTCAGGACCCCAGGATAATGACCTGAGCCAAAGGCAGATGCTCAACCACTGAACCACCCGGGTGCCCCAAGATTTTATTTTTAGGTAATCTACACTCAACGTGGGGCTTGAATTTACAACGTTGAGGTCAAAAGTCAAATGCCTTGGGACGCCTGGGTGGTTCAGTGGTAGAGCCTCTTCCTGAGGCCCAGGGTGTGATCCCGAGTCCAGGATCCAGTCCCACCTGAGGCTCCCTGCAGGGAGCCTACTTTTCCCTCTGCCTATGTCTCTGCCTCTCTCTGTGTCTCTCGTGAACAAATAGAATCTTTTAAAAAGTAAAAATAAGTCACATGCTTGACCAATTGAGCCAGTCAGGCACCAAAGTTAGATGATTCTTTAAGTCACTCAGGAAAGCTTCAGCCGGAGCTGGAACCTGAAGTCTCTGGAGAGCAAGGGCTGGATGAGGAGTGCTAAGCACAAACCCTGGGGGCCCTCCTGTATCCCCATGGGATAATAGCAGGGATGATAGGACTGCTGTCTGCTGAGTACTTAGTACCAGCCACATTGGTCTAGGGGGTGGATGGAGTTAACTTTGATGCCTCCTATTTCAATGGGAGACCAGGCTGATAGGGAATGGCAGCTAATACAGCAGCCAAGATTTTTAGGGCAGTGAAAAGTATTCTGTATGGCCTTGTAAAGGCAGATGTATGACTATGTATTTCCTAAAACCCATAGAACTATATGATGTGAAGAATTAAACCCTAATGCAAACTATGAACTTAGGTAATAACAGTACATAGTAAGATAAAATGAATATCTTTAAAAATAATAGAATAATTGTACTGAATGTACCACACAATGTACGATGTCAATATTTTAATATTTGGGGGTTTCTCATGCTCAATTGTTCTGTAAACCTAAAACTACTCTAAAAAATAAACTACTGGGCAGCCCGGGTGGCTCAGCGGTTTAGCGCCACCTTCAGCCCAGGGCGTGATCCTGGAGACCTGGGATTGAGTCCCACGTCGGGCTCCCTGCATGGAGCCTGCTTCTCCCTCTGCCTGTGTCTCTGCCTCTCTCTCTGTGTGTTTCTCGTGAATAAATAAATAAAATCTTAAAAAACTAATGAAATAAAATAAAATAATAAAAAATAAACTACTAAGAAAAAAAAACAAAAACCTCTACTAATTAAAACAACAACCAAAAAAATTCAGCTGACAACTCACAGGAATTGACAAAGAACAGGTGGAAGACAAGGACAGGAGCAAAGGTAGGGAGTCTGATTGAGGGGATCTACTTTTGTCTTTATCCTTCTGTCATTTTTCTCCTTGGTTCCACAGACAAACTCATCCCCACTTTTCCTCCTCTTACCATATTTCCACATTCGTTCTGTCTCCTCTGTCACTCTCAAGGCACTAGAGTTGGAAATTCAAGAAACTTCAACAAAAAGCCATTTTCATATTGAGGAAGATGGTGACGCTGTCAAAATGGACGTGGAGATAGGCCCCATCATAGATGGACGTGGAGGTAGGCCCCATTTCAAATCAGAAATGGAAGACTCTGACAGGATCCAAAAACTTCTCTAAGCTATACAGAAGCAGCGGAGTCTTGTGCTCCATGGATTTAGGGTCCAGAAATTTCAGGCAACAGTAATGAATGCCTCTAAATCCAGTTCTTCCTTTTTCCAGTTTTAGGATTGTGTCCCAGGCGATCCCTGAAGACTTACTCCTTTTGTTCTAGAGAACTTCCCCTTCCTCCCTGCCTCAATTTCTTTATGCTCATTAGGGGCCCCTCCTGGGACTGAGAGGAGTAAGAAGGAACCTGGGATTTGTTCACTGGCCTAATGCCTTTGGCTGTCTGCCAGAAATAGGCTAGAGCACCTGAGAGGAAACTGTATGCCAAAATGTGGGATTTTTTTTAAGTATTTATTTATTCATGAGAGACACACACAGGCAGAGGGAGAAGCAGACTCCATGCAGGGAGCCCGATGTGGGACTCCATCCCAGGTCTCCAGGATCACAGCCTGGGCTGAAGGTGATGCTAAACCACTGAGCCACCCAGGCTGCCTAAAATGATGGGCTTTTTGTATCAGTTTTCAGAAGGTACCATATGCCAACATTCCCTATTTTCCAGATTATGATTTCTCATATAGACTCCTAGAAATGAGAAATGAAGATCAATTCCTATAGTTTTAATAAAGGCTTACAAAGAAGCACTGTCAGGGTAATGAATGTGGTTAGTTGTATTGCGCTGTAATAACAAGACAAAAACAAAAGTTGCTCTGATTTTGGTCTGACATGCCAATAGGTTCTATTTTCACATTTTTCTACCTGGTAAGTCCATTGAATAAGAACTGTTGGCGGTGGGAGCACCTGGGTGGCTCACTGGGTTAAGCATCTGCCTTTGGCTCATAATCCCAAAGTTCCAGGATTGAGCCCTGCATCAGGCTCCTCCCTCAGAGGAAAGTCTACTACTCCCTCTAACACTCCTCCCTCTCGTGCTCACTCTCTGTCTCAAATAAAATATTTAAGAAAACAACACTATTTTGGGGGCTCCACTCAGAATCATTGACATCCCTGCCTTTTGCCTCCCTGCTTCCCCAGAGGAGACTGGGGAATTTTTCCTGATCTGGGTTTGGGTCTAGAGAAATCCTTAGGTGACAGGGATATGAGGCAGGAAAAGCAGTAGCTAGAAAGGGCGATGGCCCATTTGTCAGCATGGGGCAAAGGTGAGGGGGGAAAGTCTGTGCCAGGAACAGGTGGATAAATATTTTTGAACATATGTCCTTCACTGTTTTCAGAAAGGCCAAATTTTTTTTGGCTGGGGTGTAGAGAAGGTGAACTTTAGGAAGCTGTCACTCAGATTAGAGAAGCACTGAGGAAAGCACGGGTTTGGACCATCTTGTTCCTCTGGCTTGTTTCTTTCTGGAGCAGGTGAGGACCACCCACAGCTTGTAAGGGTGGGGGCAAAGCTATGTCCAGGGTTATCAAAGTTTCTAAGACAGAGCCACTTCCTAACTCTGACTAGTCTTGGTGTCTCTGCCCCAATCCTTTCCCCATTTCCCACCCCAAACACTACTTTCATGTTTCCTGTGGGCTATTCCTACTGACCCCCCATGATCTAGACTGTGCTGTTCCTTTGCCATTTTTTTTAAAGATTTTACTTATTTATTCATGAGAGACAGAGACAGAGAGAGAGAGAGAGAGAGAGAGAGGCAGAGGGAGAAGCAGTCTCCATGCAGGGAGCCCGATGTGGGGACTCATCCCGGGTCTCCAGGATCACGCCCTGGGCTGAAGGCGGCGCTAAACTGCTGAGCCACCCGGGCTGCCCTTTTTTTTTTTTTTTTAAGATTTTATTTTTATTTATTTATTTATTTTTAAAAAGATTTTATTTATTCTTTTTTTTTTATTTTATTTATTCATGAGAGACACACAGAGAGAGGCAGAGACACAGGCAGAGGGAGAAGCGGGCTCCATGCAGTGAGCCCGACGTGGGACTCGATCCTGGGACTCCAAGACCATGGCCTGGGCCGAAGGCAGGCACCAAACCACTGAGCAATCCAGGGATCCCTAAGATTTCATTTTTAAGAGATCTCTACACTCAACAGAGGACTCGAACCTAACGACCCCGAGATCAAGAGTCTCGTGTTCTAACGACTGAGCCAGCCAGGCGCCCCTTTGTTGTGTCTTGCTGTCCCCATTGACTGTCTTTCCAAGAAATGGCCAGAAAGGGGCCCTGACCTTCCAGACATCTTTCACGAAAAACAGGCCATCCTCCGAACACACTTTCCAGCCAGATCCCGAGACCTGCCAGGATCTCTGGCACACTGCTCCCTCCTTAGCCCCTCTGCCTGAGTACCTACCCAACTTAGCTCTGGGGGTGGCCCTGGAGGAGGCTGCTTGCCCGACTGAGGCCCACATTCTGCAGCTTCAGCCTATTAGGATGGGAGGAAAGTGAACTGAACCTCTCCTCCATGAGAGTAAAAAGCACAATGAGGAAAGCATTGGCAATTCTAAGGTCAGTGAGGGATCTAGGGGGACCTGCGGGGAAGCTTGAATGAATCCAACAGTCAACTACTTACCTGTGGAATTTATTGATTGTGGCAGATACACCCGCTGGCGTGATAAATCCACCAGCCACCTGCCATACTGCTGGTGACATAGTTCAAAGATTTGCTGTCAATATGCCCTAGAGCTGCAGGAATGAGGTTTGGGAGTGTGAGGAAGAATTAGGCAAAAAGAATTAGGCAAAAGCCACACCTGGGTGGCTCAGCAGTTGGTGTGATCCTGGAGTCCCAGGATCGAGTCCCGCATCAGATTCCCCGAGGGAGCCTGCTTCTCCCTCTGCCGGTGTGTCTGCCTCTCTCTCTGTGCCTCTCATTAATAAATAAAATCTTTTTTAAAAAATTAGGCAAAATGCTGAAGAAACCTCTAAGTTAAGAACCTCTCAGTGTCTATGGATGATGACAATGTAACTTAGCAAATGTTCCACAGTTACTCGGAGATGCTTTATGGGATTCAGGGAGGTGCATTCAGGGATTTGTCAAGGTTTATTTCAGATATTCAATGCCATCTAGGGAATAAGTCTCTTCTCGCAGGACTATGTTCAAGGATGGGACATTGTAAGTAGTTAGAAATGTAGAAGAGCACTCAGGACAGATGTATGTTCTTTATTTCATGCTGCTGAACATGTGACTGGTATTCGCTTTGTCCCTTTCTACTTAAGACTTCCCAGCCCCTAATTCTTATTCCATTTTGCATTCCCCCCCTTTTCTTTCAGCCATCATATACAGTGCATGTAACATGTACTAAGCATGACAGGTAATTTAACCTTTTTCTCATTCATCCACCCTGTACTAAATCCCCAATGCTGTAGCTCACTAATTTAATTCAAAACTGAAAAGAGAGATACAATAGAGAATCATAGTACCTAATCTCTCCTGACTCTGGGTCTCCCAGTTCATATCATGAGCTAGAGTGGAAAAGTGACAGGTACATAGGAAATGGCAAAGAACAGGGTTTTAGGTGTCAAGGTCAATGTGTGACAAGGGGACAAGGTTTGAGCAGACAATACAAATGGACAAATATTTGCAGAGATTACCTCTCTTTCTGATTATGGGGGAGAGCAAGTATCTCCTTTCTTCACGTGGCAGAGAAGTGGGCAGACCTGGATCGAGGAGCAACCAAATCTATCAGGACAGTCTCATTTCTCACCTGAACAGTGTGGTATTTTGGGGCCCCTTATAAATGGGTGGAAATAGAGCAGAGGAAGTTTCTGGTGACTTGAAGATGGGGAAAGCCAAGTGGGAACAATTGGGCTGCATTTCCTGCAGAAGTTTAGAGATGATGGATGAAGTGTGCCCTGAGTCATGGGCTCCTTTCAGACCACAGCCCTCAGGGAAATGGTTTTTGTGTTTCTGGTTTATCTCCTAGCCAGTGTATTCTGTTTCAGACATGTGTGGCCTCAGATTCATCATGATACAAGTTGAACTGGTTTTTTGCTACCTCCTGCTGCACCCTGTGGATGTCATTTCACATGGAAACTGGACAAACATTCCCTCATCCTTGAGATCCTGGCCACCTTCCTCAGACTCCTTGTCCTGCCAGACTCTGCTCCCAAAGTCCCTGCCTGGCTTCACCTACATGGCTCCTCTGCCCAAGTTCCTGGTGGGCTTGCCACTAGTGATTGCCCTGGAGAAAGCTGGTTGCCAGGCTGATGTCTGGCCCCTGCAACTTCAGCTGTACCGTCAAGGGGGTGTAAAAGCTACACAGATCCTCATCCGACATCTTCAAGAGCTCCAGAAAAGGAGAAGCACGGGAAGGGCAGTTTCCATGGATGCCCTGGCCTCTGCTCTACAGCTGTTGGCCAGGGAGCAACCAGGCCCAGAAAGGGCTCGACGCTCCCTTCCTATCAATGACTGTGAGCAGGCGCAGGAGGAAAATGTGCATAATGTAGTCCGGTTGTTTCCAGTAGTGGGAACCTACTACAATCTGGGCACAGCTTTGTACTACGCTGCTCAGAGCTGTTCAGACAAGGCCAAGGAACGAGGCCAAGATGGGCTCGTAGACATGGGTTATGACCTTCTGATGACCCTTGCTGGATGGTCTGGGGGACCCACAGGAGTACTAATCAGCTCTGCACTTAAACCTGCAGTGAAGGCAGGGATTCAACAGTTGATCCAGTATTACTATGAGCAAGAGGCTAACACAGCTCTGCCAGTGATCAGCAGGAAGGCCTTGGGGGGTATCTCAGATGTGGGTGACCTGGAAGAAACAACTACCACGGCGCTTTGGTATTAGTTCAGCTCTCTTATTAGTTTAGGGTTTATTTAATGACTCTGACTTAGATGCTGGGGATGGTAGTCTTGGGGTATAAAAGGTGGTGATCACAGAATGAATAAATGTAATATTTTGACAAGCTGTAATGTATATGTGTTCAAAATCGAAATCCCTGGTTATCAGGGAAGAAGGCAATGCTCTAAAATGCAGGGATTTTAAAGTCTGGGGTTTGGAGTCAGAAGATTTGGATTTGAATCCATGCTTCACCTGTAGGAGCCTCAATTACAATTCTTCTCCACACTCAGTTTTTATTTATTTATTTATTTATTTATTTATTTATTTATTTATTTATTTATTTATTTATTTATTTATGATAGTCACACAGAGAGAGAGAGAGAGGCAGAGACACAGGCAGAGGGAGAAGCAGGCTCCTTGCACCGGGAGCCCGACGTGGGACTCGATCCCGGGTCTCCAGGATCGCGCCCTGGGCCAAAGGCAGGCGCCAAACCGCTGCGCCACCCAGGGATCCCCCACACTCAGTTTTTATTTTATTTTTTATTTTATTTTTTTTTTTAAAGGGAGAAGCTTTCTTTTTTTTTTTTTTTAATTTTTATTTATTTATTTATTTACAATAGTCATGCAGAGAGAGAGAGAGAGAGAGGCAGAGACACAGGCAGAGGGAGAAGCAGGCTCCATGCACCGGGAGCCTGACGTGGGATTCGATCCCGGGTCTCCAGGATCGCGCCCTGGGCCAAAGGCAGGCGCCAAACCACTGCGCCACCCAGGGATCCCCACACTCAGTTTTTAAAACATCTATAGTAGACAAATAAAATATGTACTTAAAAAAATAAAATAAAATAAAACATCTAAAAGTAGAGACGTGGGACGCCTGGTGGCTCAGGTCGTGGTCCTGGAGTCCTGCATTGGGCTCCGCATGGCGAGCCTGCTTCTCCCTCGGCCTAGGTCTCTGTGTTTCTCATGAATAAATAAATAAAAATCTTTAAAAAGAAACAAAACGTCTAAAGTAGTGATAATCATCTTCCCTGGATGGGTTTTGTGGAAATTAAAAATGATACAAGGAACGTCAGTGCTTAGCAAGGTAAGTAAACGGTTATTTATTGGCACAGCTCGTCGCTTCCCATCCCAAAGAATCGACGTTCCGGGCCCCTCCGGGAGCGCTGGGCGCCTGCAGCGCCCCGGGCGCGTCTCGGTTTCGCTCCCGCCGCGAGGATTCTCGGAAATCAGCTGAGGCGCCGCGCGGCTGTTCCGTCAATGGGACTCCTCCCTCCGGGGACGGGGGCGGGGCGTCCTTGAGCGATCCCACCAATCGTGGGGCGGGAGCTGTGGTTTCGGCGCCGCTCGTCCCGCCCCGCGGGGGAGGAGTTGTGGCGACGCCAACGGGCGGAGGGCATTGGCTGAACGGCCGCCAGCGTCGCGGTTGCCAGGCTGCGCACTGCGAGCTCCCGGGTTCAGCCGCGCGTTCGCCTGCGGGCTCCGAGGGGGCGGGGCCGAAGAGCGGGGGCGGGGCCGAGGGGCGGGGGCGGGGCCGGGCGGGGCGCGCGCGGGGCCCTGAGCTCCCTCCCCGGGCCGGAAGCCTCTCCCGGAGCCGCGGGACGGAGGGGAGCCGGAGCCTCTCGGCAGGTACGGGCCCAGGGGGCTGCGCGGGGCCGGGGTGCGGGCGCGCGTCGCTCCCCGGGGAAGGCGGCAGGCCCTGGGGTGCGCCCGCTCGTCGTGAGCCTTCGTCTCTAAGTTGAAATAGCTGTCCCCTGCTGCGTGAGCGAGTCTCCCATCCAGCCCGGCCGCCGGCGCTGACACTCGGCTCCCCAGACCCCCCCCCCCCCCGCCCCGGCAGCCTCCGAATCCCTTAGCCAGCGCCTTGACCCTCCGGGCTGCGTTAGGTTTGATTCTCGCCAAAAAAAGAAAAAAGGATGTCTGAAGGTAGATACGATTTCACTTCCTTCACTGTTATCTTACGAAGTGTAAGGGGCGGCGCAGCCCGGTGGCTCAGCGGTTCAGCGGCGCCTTGGGCCCAGGGCGTGACCCCGGGTCCGGGCCGAGCCCCGCGTCGGCTCCCTGCTTGGAGCCTGCTTCTCCCTCTGCCTGCGTCTCGGCCTCTCTGGGTGTCTCTCATGAACCCATAAAATCTTAAAAAACAAAAAAACCGTAAGGGACAGAAAGGTGAAACAATTTGCCTAAGGTCACATACAAGATGCAGTTCTTTTCCAAAAAGCTCATTGAGCAAAAAATGTATGCCCAAGAGAGTGAGGGATAGCTGGGGGAAAAGCGTTACAGCCTTTAGGCCTCGTGTTTGCGGTCTATTTTGGGAAGACCATGGTTTTTTGTTTTGTTTTCTCATATTTAAACCTTACGGTTAACTTGCCACCTTGCTCTTTTCATAACAGTCGAGATTCCTTCCTTAAGAAGTGGAGACTCTCCATTTGTTTTTTTTAAAGCAGTACAGGTGCATAGATTTCAAAGCCAAGCACTGGTAAAAGCATTAAAATGAAAAATAGGAGTCCCTGACCAATCCTTTCCTCCCCGTTCCTACTTCAAAGAGGTAGAAAAGCATCTCACGATTATTCATACTGACGGAACACAATCTCTCCCACCCCAGACATTTTTCTTTCATTGGTAATAAGATCATGTCACCTTTTTTGGACCACGGATGTATGTAAATACTCTTTTCTGTTAGGTTTAATCTGCAACAAGAATAGGTTTTGATTTCCTAAGCAGGCAGTTGGCAGGGGGCGGGGAAAGAGAGGAAGAAAGATTCTTAGCCCAGCCTACTTGGTAGCCGGCAAATACCAGGTTTTTTTTTTGTTTTGTTTTTGTTTTTTTTTCCAAATACCAGTTTTGAGTGAAGTTTCATGGTGAAAAACAAACAAAAGCCTCTGCTTGAAAAAAAAAAAAAAAAAGCCTCTGCTTTCTTTGCCCAACCCTGCCTCTGTGGGTGGGGGGGAATTTCTGGGTCTCTCACAAAGTTGATAATATACATGAAGAGTCAGAGGTTGATAGAGGTCTTAAAAGTATCACAGTCTTAGAGATTGAGTGACCTCCTTGTAGAGTATTTAAATATTTGTGTGGTTTTTTTTAATATATTTTTTAATTTTTTATTTATTGATGATAGTCACACAGAGAGAGAGAGAGGCAGAGACACAAGCAGAGGGAGAAGCAGGCTCCATGCACCAGAAGCCCGACGTGAGACTCCATCCCGGGTCTCCAGGATCGCGCCCTGGGCCAAACCGCTGCGCCACCCAGGGATCCCCAATATTTGTGTTTTTTTTTAAGTATTTAAATATTTGGAAAAAAATAAATATTTGGAAGGCTGTCTCTCCTTCCTACATGGAGAGCAGATTGTTAAGGTTTCAGCCCTTGATAAAGCTTTGGGACCATCAGGGATCATGCTGAAATAAATATTTATAACCCATTTATGATCTTGAAATGTTCTAGCATAAGTAAACACGAATACAAATTTAAAATAAATTCACTGGGGGAGATAGATGAAATTAAGATGGTGGAAATATTAATGTTTAGTAAAGTTGAATGATGGGTAAATGGATGATTCTTGTACTATTCACTCTACTTCGGTGTGTGTTTGAAAATCGTCATTAAGGGACACCTGGGTGGCTCCGCAGTTGGGTGTCTGCCTTGGGCTTAGGGCGTGATCCTGGAGACCCGAGATTGAGTCCCACTTCCAGCTCCCTGCAGGGAGCCTGCTTCTCCCTCTGCCTGTGTCTCTGCCTCTCTCTCTCTGTGTGTCTCTCATGAATAAATAAATAAAGGCTTTAAAAAAAAAAAAAGAACTGATCATTAAAACAAAAAGACCCACATATTTCAGCTCCTAAATAGTACTGTCTGAAAGAATATGAACTAAACTGATAATATTGGTTACCTGTGGAGAGAAGAGGAAGAGACCAACATTAGGAGTAGGATCAGTGTAGCTCCAGGTTTTTTTCTTACCTTTATAATTAATTTTTTTTATTATAGTGATAAGCAATCATGAGACTGTGGATGATTTAGTCCAGCAAAATTTCCAGTTGGGAACGTGCATCCTTCAGACTCAGACCCCAAATGGCGCAGTGGGAGATGCTACAGAATCTTGACAACCCATTTCAGGATCAGCTGCATCAGCTCTACTCAGATAGCCTCCTGCCAGTGGACATTCGACAGCACTTGGCTGTCTGGATTGAAGATCAGAACTGGTGAGTTCCTCAGGAAGTGGGGTGTGGAAAGTAGTTTCTTCTGAGCCCCCAGGATCCTGGAGACACCAAAGTTGTCTAGAAGGGGTTAGGAGGCCACAAAAGACAGTAGGAATGCTGCAAGGATACTAATCATTCCTGGTCCCCAGGCAGGAGGCTGCCCTGAGCAATGATGATTCCAAGGTGAACATGCTGTTCTTCCACTTCTTGGACCAACTGAAGTATGAGTGTGGCCGCTGCAGCCAGGACCCTGAGTACTTTTTATTACAGCACAACTTGCGAAAATTCTATCGGGACATTCAGGTACTTGGAGGAGCCAGGAATGGGCAAAAAGCTGAATATAAAGGAAACTGAATGTAGAGGAGTATGGTTTAGGGTATGAAACAGGACCTGGAGATGTAAAGGGATGGGGGCAGATCTGGGGAAAAGAGGGACAAGTCCAGGGCAGATCTGGACTTGGAGGGTCACTGTCAGAGAGAAAGGCAGAGTCTAGGTGACCCTGTTGGGAAAAGGCTAGGTTTTAGGGTACCGTTGGTGAAGAAGGGAGGGGCTAGAGACCCTGAAGGAGGGGGAAGTACTGGGGCCACTGGTAGGGAAGGTCTGGAATGCTAGATCATTGAAGATGCTTCGATCACTTCTTTCTCTTCCTACTATAGGCCCTTCCCCAGGGCCCTACCCAGTTGGCTGAGATGATCTTCAATCTCCTTCTGGAAGAAAAAAGAATTCTGACCCAGGCTCAGAGGGCTCAGTTGGTAAGAACAATTTGTAGTGATTTTGAAAGCTCCTAGAGTAGAGAGTGACTGTGGAAGGGACTCGGGATATTTGTCTCAGAACAAGAACAAGATCCCCCACCTGCACCCCAATGTTTATAGCAGCAGTGTCCACAATAGCCAAACTGTGGAAGGAGCCTCGGTGTCCATCGAAAGATGAATGGAT